CTGCTGTAATCTCTCTTCTTGATTCTTTTCTCGTTCTTCATATTTCTTTTCTTTTCCTCCAACAACTGCTGTAATCTCTCTTCTTGATTCTTTTCTCGTTCTTCTTGTTTCTTTTGCTGTTCTTGTATTGCTGCCATCAAATCTGCTAAGCTGTAGTTTGATTTGCCGCCTCTCGTTTCCATCTTTCTTTTTTTTTTCCATCGCACTTCTGACACCAATTTGTTACGTCTCTGGTCGTTAGTTACTTTCCCTATAATTCTTTCCGATGAAACTTTAGCGACACAAGTCCTTTCTTAAATAAAACTGGTTCATTCTTTCTGAATAAAACTTTGCAATACACTTAATTTCCACAGTTACGCTATAACAAACGACTCAACAATACGTCTCTCTCTCCGTCCACAGTTCAATTACATTGTTGCCGTCAGTTCCTGGCGGCTTATATATACAAGACTACCGCATATCCAGTAGCCTCTCGAGACTTCAGGAACCTTCGAGAATATGACGTGTTACTAGAGTCACGTAACCCCCGCTGTCGTAACACTTTCTATGATTTCAACTGCACAGAGTCTGATATCATAAATAAGCAATGGCCATAGCAGTTTGGGAATCAGCGTTAATTACAAGACCCAAACTTTGAATTTGCCCCGCAGTTTTGTCTGGTTGATAATCTCCAATCCCTGTTTGGCTTCTTCCTGTACCTTTGCAGTCCGCTTTGTGTCTTTGATTGAATGGTCATATCATCTCCCCAGACTTTTGACAGGCTGTTCAGACACTGTTGGAATCACTTGTCCAGCTACAGAGAACTTGAACACATAACATAAAAACCTTTGACATCAACACAACTGTCAAATACCAAAATATTCACTATAGCGAATATAAATCAGAAATAAAATGCAAAAACAAATACTTTAACCAAAAGCAAGTTCACAAAGAAAATACTACAATGCATATAAGACAAAAGCTCTTTTATATGTCATACCTTTTTTATGCATAAAGTACATTATGGATGTAAAGCTCTTAGCAAAATTATCATAAACTATTTACAATGTAAAAAGACATAGAACATATTAAAATCAAATCCCAAAACAATCCCTTTATAAGCCATTAAAAATTAGAAATATCGAGAGCAGGATCAAATAATAATAATAAAAAAAAAACAGTAGAACATATTGTTGTAATTTTTTTCGTTGGTGAGTTCTTTTAAATTGTCTGAAAATATTTCATAGTACAGTCCAGGTAAAGTATAAGAAATTAGTTTATTTATTGCTTGGCATGGCCAGGTGGTTAGATCACTCGACTCACAATCTGTGGGTTGCGGGTTTGAATCCCCTTTCCACTAAACATGCTCACCTTTTCAGCCGTGGAGGTGTTATAATGTAACGGTAAATCCCACTATTCGTTGGTAAAAGAGTAGCCCAAGAGTTGGCGAATGGGTGGTGATGACTAGCTGCCTTCCCTCTAGTCTTACACTGCAAAATTAGGGAGGTTAGCGTAGGTAGCCCTCGTGTAGCTTTGCGCAAAATTCAAAACAAATAAACAAACAATTTACTTATTCTTTAACGTTTTTTACAAACTACCTTCACTGTACACTGTTGTAGGTTATGTTTACATATGATACTACCTCCACTACATTAATGTAAAAAATACACTCACTTGTACTAATTCACGGCTACAAAAAAGAAGGAAAAAAAACACTGGTTGATTCGCTCTACAGGCTAGAAACAACTCTATTATCTTAAAACAGACTACAATCTTCACAGATATGATATATCTATAATCTATGCTTGAATGTACTAGAAAACCTGACGTCAAATCCTCTAGAATTTTCCAGGTTTATCTGACCTTAAAGTCACCCGTACAATCCGTAGCTTCCTCTAACTAACAAACAAATTATTTTGAAATTACAACATTAAAAATATACCACACACATAAACATCAATAATAAAGTAAAACTTTATACAAGGCATACAGTGAAGTCTTAGTGATGTTCTTTTACGTGAATGGAAGGCTAAAGTTCTATATATGTGTATACTTGCTGGTCCATGTTGTAAAGCAATCATTTATACACTATTAAGAAAAAAGATAAAAATATTATTCAGTTCGTGCCCTAATCACAGCATTGAGTCAAACGAAGGATAATATCCCAAACGGATAATGCTGACTTAACAGTATCATTACAAAAAGTAAAAAAGAAAACAAAATCATGAAAGGTAATTTTCTGTACAATATTAGTACGTATATATGCAGGGAACTGAGCATATTATAATAAAACCACAGCCAATAAACGTCATAGTGGAAGAAAATGCATCAGAATTACGATTTGATATTGTTTGTCATTTTGTAGGCAATGAGATGCTGCAGAAAGTTGACCCCTTTTGGGAAGGGTATGTAACAACCTTTTCAGATTCAAGATACTTATATACTCAGATCCTAAAAATGTGCTCAGATTGGAGTATTAGAATACCCAAGATCTCGGCGGAGATAACCCTTGTATTTAACCCTATGTTCACGGGTGGGATTAAAATACGTATGTCATGACCATTTAGTGTCATTCAAAATGTATTGTACATTTGATGTCAGAGTTATCAATTGTTCATTTTATCTTACATTGCTGATTTAGCAACAGTTCGTGGTAGAGGAGGAGTAGATGCCAAAAACAATATACAGGAATACCGGAAAAGCTATAGAAATGCATTTTGGAGGTTCTAGAGGTAATGCAAATATAATATACAAACTGTATCATGGACAAGAGTATTTTTATTCTTCATATGAACATCAGCCTGCACTCTGAGTTGTCAGAGTCTCAATCAGATTGACATCATCAATCCACAGACATACAAATAATTTTGTAAGACATCTCATCTTTTCTATACAACAGAGTTGTACATTTTAATTAAAGTTTGTCACAGTTCGTGTAGATACTCAAAGTAAATTCAGAATTATACTCAATATTTCTTCTCCAATACAGGGTCAGTTCACTGGACCGACCTCATGCACATTTGGTTAATGGCATTGAAGAACAAAGAAATAGGGATCATACAAAAAGACACCCGCATCAAGCCATACCCCAACCATGGGAAGCAAACTGTGGCGTTTTGCAACAGGTGAGAATCCATGAACACAAAAGTCAATGGCAAAAGATATCCACAAACCTCATGCTAAACTACTCAAAATAATCAGGTTCTCTGTCTGGAAAAGCAACACAATTCAAGTTGATTTCATGACTTATCATTTCAACCATCATACTCCTCAAGTAGCTGGAGAATGAATTGATTATTCCTATTATTCCATAAAAAAACATAGTCTTTGTACACTGGATGGATTGTGGAAAACAGCCACGGAGGATTGGTGTGTTTTGATATGACAGTCTTACTACGGAGCCTTTTGCAATGAAACTACGCTGCGGATAGAGTATGACGCTTCTTGGCGACATGGCTTCTAATGACATGGTGAGACTTTTTTTGATATAACGTACTGAACCTCTGTAACTATTTTGAACTACAAAGCTTTGGAAAATACTAAGTAAAAAAAAATGAAACTTTTTTTCTAGCTTTGCTATATAATATCTTATTTTAATTGAACGTCCATTTGCCGTAGCTTCCGCGTCTGCGCTTATACGATTATATACAGATTTTATTTATATCAAATTGTGTAATTTTCCAAGTTGTTGTTAGAGTTTTAAGAAATAAATATATTATTCACCCAGAAATAAGAATAAATTTTTCAGCTTTAATGGCCACCTACTGGTGACACATAAAATTAATAGATCAATTTAAAGAAAGTTTATAAATTAAAACAAATAAGAAATGTAAGCTAAATATTTGCATTAAATTAAAATTATATTTTGTCATGATAGAATATGGATAGAATTAAACAAAAATGTATAATTAAAACGCTATTAGAAATTGCGATAACCAATCCTGCTTTTTGTACTTTCGCCATATTGCTCATTTGGCGCATTGAGGGGGAGTGAAGAGTTCATAGAGGATTTTTGTGAGCTAAAGTTTGATTTGGTGTTGGTTATTTAATGTTTAAGTTATAGGCAGTATGATAAACATTGGTTATCTCTCTCTCTCTAACTGAAATGATAGATTTTAAATTAACTTATTATTATATTTAATTATTTAAAACTGTTTAATGAAATAAAACCATTAACTTTTATTTGGCTAGTCGTAGAAACCCAATCCCGGTACTCGGTACCGTATTTTTCCTGAAAGAGGAAATCTAAATAATGCGTGAGGGTATGGCCCTAGCATGGCAACCACAAGAAGAAGGTCTTCGACAGATATTGAATTTGTTAAAAGAATCACAGTCGCCTGATACAGCTACTCAACGTGCTGTTCAACAAGTATCCTTGTGCAATTGATGTTTGTTAACTTCATAAGTTGTAACTTTTACTTTAGTTTAGGGCTATGTAACTTATAAATAAAATATAAGATGTTTGTTTATTTTCATTTATTTTTCTCATATGCATGGAGTATTATTAATATTAGTTAGGAATAGAAGAGAGACTGTTAAGTGTCGTAAGTAATTTTGCCTTTGAATTTGAATTAGTTGTGTTAAAAAATTTATGGTTAGAAAACATTAAGTAGCACAGAATAAATTAAGTTAAATTTAAAAATTGATTTGTTTTCATAAGTCAAACAACTTGAGTAAAATAATAGTTTCTGTGTTAAAGTGGAAGATGTTGAGGACTATTTGACCATTTACTTATTCTAACATTTAAACTTTTATGAACCTACTCTGTGGTTTTAATGAAATGCTTGAAATTTAAGTTTTACAATTTTTTAGACTGGAAGATTGTGATTTGTGTTTTTATAAAATTTACCAACACAGTCGTGAGTCATGGTGCTAAGACTAAGAGCACATGCAACATGTTTGAACGGAATGCACTGTAATACTTGTAACAGTGTTAGTATAGAAATTAGCTTGTAACTTAATATCTGGTGTTATTTGAAAAGGGGAAATAAATTGTGTAATATTAAATAAGTTTCTTGTGTAATATGCCAACACTGAGTGTGACATATTCTTGTACTATAGGGTTTCAATGATTTTTGATTAATGAAAATAAAATAAATTCACACACCATTGGATTCCACAGTCACAAATCAGTAGATTTACACTGCAAGTTCAATTATGTATTTAATAATTAATGAAAACAATTAAAAATCATACCTGTAAATTGATCTTTTGCTCCACACTACCTTCTCATTGGAACAATGTTAATAAAATGACCGTGATTAATATCAAATTATTGCTTTACCTGGTAACCTGATACTGTGTGATACCAATGTCAAGGCAGAATAAAATGTAGTTCCAGTAAAGTTCATCAATTTGGAACTCATACATGTGAATTTATGTTATATGGATAAATGAAAATTGTCAATAACCAAATGTTAATAATAAAGTATGAGCTTACCTATGAAAGTATAGGGGAGATTTTGTAATCACATTGGTTGTAAACTTGAAATACTGTGATTGACAGATATGTACTGGTAGTAACTTCTACCAGTTCTGTGTTGTGTCATGATGTGAATGCTTTCGTTCATACCTCTCTTATCATAGGCTATTGTAGCAAATTAAGTTGTGTTAAATTAAAGTTTTCCTAGATTTTATTACCAGTGTATCAAGTGTTTTTTTCTTTCTTAAACTATTGTAGTATACGTTGGGTTTTAGAGCAAATTTAATGATATGACGCATAGCAAACTGTTGTCAGGACAAGATATTGTCTGTTTATGCCCAATGATATGAGGTAAAGTAACTTGTTGCTAAGTTAATGTGTAGTCTGTTTACATTTCCCGTGCATAAACCAATACATAGATATGTCTGCCCAAATGGAACCAACAGCATGTAATATGCATCACAGAGTTTATTGTATGGCTTTGTTTCTACAGATTCAATGGCTAAAAAGAATTTTAAATGGTTTTAAAGTTTTGTTTGTGTGTTTTTAAATAGTAAATGCTTTTGTATCCAATGAAACCACCTAGACCAATGAAGAAAGCTATCGTTTGATGAATCACTGATCCTTATTGGTCCAGCCAATTTGAACTGATGCCCTGGTTTTTGTTTTAACATTCGCTTGCTGGCTGCTGCCAAATGACAGAGGGTGGGCTTAGCAAGCATCACAATGTTTTTAAAGCTGATTCACAACTAGTGGGATTACAGTTGCCTTGAAATAAATCATGCAAATTCAGTGTGTTTTAGTACTGTAGATATTTTCCATTTGTTGTTTGGTGTACAATAATTAGTATTTTGTTAATGTGAGATTTATATATTTGCAACTGCGATTTAACATTCGCATACTTCTGTTGGCGAGAACTATATTTCTCTTGGACCTCCTACTTGTACAATCAACAGAATTGTCAGATTGTAGATATGTTTCGTTAGACCATAGATTTGATCTAACTCTTAAGATTATCATTCCCCTCCAACTTAATGCAACCAACCATCAAGACTAAAATAAATGTAACTATCATGTTTTTATTGAACAAAATTTTAAAGTGATTCAAGGTATCACTATCAGCATACTGCATTTCAAGATTTTAAACCATGAATCATTCTTGTAGTAGATACCTGTTTACACTTTCCAGCATATTGAAACTATTTCTGTAATAAGGTGCTCAAACTGCACTTGGAAAAGATCAGTTTCGTAAAGTTGAATAAACACTTGTAATTCAATCATATAATTGTTATTTCTTTTATTCAAAACTAATTAAATCAACTTAGAGTTTCAAACTTTAGTCAGTAACTTTAAACAAATCACTATTCCTCTTGGAAAAGAATCAAGACTTTCTGATTTCTAAATCTCGTAGACATTACCTTACATACTGCAGTTTTGAAACTCATTTTTGTATTGTGACTCAATCTGTAAGATTTCTCATATACTTATGAAACAAATTGTCTCAAATGTATCACCAGCATATTTAGAAATACAATTGCTCAAAAAGTTATTGAAATTAACATGTAGAATGAATAATAAATGTTCCCAGCTGGTTCCCTATAAGACATTTAATACTTAATAACTTATCCAAATTTATCACAACGTTTTGCATATTGCTGATTCAACCACTTCTTACATTTTCAATCAGTTACATAAAATCATAATCTGGCTTACTAATGAAAATTCTTCCAGTATCTTATCAAGTATTTTGTAAATACCATTGTGAATTCCAGTTAATTGATTAGGTATTAAATTCCGTTTGTTATTTGTCATTTTTTTACATGCATAGATCTTTTTTAATAAATTCAGAATTTAATTTTTTTATAAGCATTTCAATTTCATTATAGAAATGTTTAATATATTGATTTATTTTTATGTATATTTTGTTTTAACCACTATAGATAAAAAAAATGTGGTCTTGCTAACTAATGAATGAATATTTGCTGTAAAATTCTTATCAATGCTATAAGTGTAGCTACCAGTTTGGTTGCAAATTTTGATTTTATTCCTTTAAGTTGAATGCTCAATCCTTTTTTGGATGCACCTTTGTTTCACACCTAAGATGTTTTTGATTAGATATCATTACTTTTTGTCAATACACACCAACAAGCCGTAGCAAGTAAAAAAGTGACACTTGATAGTAACCAACATCAGCTTTAAGATTGCAACCTTATTATTTGGAACAGACCTATACCTTACAGAACCCATCAGATTCTTTAAAATATATGGTGGTAGTTTTCTTCTCTAAAACAGTGTTAATAACGTCCTTTATAGTAACGCCATGGAAACTAGATTAACAGTTTCTTGTATTTGCATGTACTTGTTAGTTATATTCAGCATTATTATTTATGCTAATTGCTTAAGCTAATATCACGTGACACTAAACAATTTAATTTGGAGAATTTCATAAAATTTAGCAAACTTGTGCTTAAAAGTTGGCAATGAATAATAACCATCCACACATATGATTCTTTTGAAAACTTTAGCTAAAAACTGCTAATCTAATTTGCTTGGTCTAACCAATACTTATGTATCAGCACGTACTTTCACCTTATAGTTTTGCTGATCTAATCTAAGTCAGCCACCTTTAATCTGAATGACAAAAAAATGAAAACAGTTTACCTTTCCTCTTAGCTGTTGTAAAAATTTCAGACCGATAGCTTATGTGATTTTTTTCTTAGACTTGTACAAAAATTTTGGTCAAAATTGAGCAGTTTTTGTTGAATAAATTTGCACATGTTGCTTATATTTAGAGCAAATTTGATATCTAATTGTAAGTTGTAAAGTGTACCAAATTTGAAAAAAAGACACTAGTTAAGTATGTTATTCTATCAAATAAAGTTTCTGTACTTTTGGTGCAAAGAAAAAAAAAAGGAAGAAATTCAATCAAAATTGGAGATTTTACATCTCGTGTATTTCTTAGTTATTTGCCTTGAAATTTGGTATTTGAAGCAAGGGTCCAGTAGAGCACATCCATTGTAAATATGTGATAGTTTGTATTACCACAGTCAGAGCTGCAGAAAGTGGAAAATTGCTAAACTATCACTCCTGTTAATAACACACAGCGTCTTTCAGGTTGTTTTGGCTGCATGATACACTACTGTGTGTCTTGATATGTGAGCTGGATATATTTTTTATTGTTGATAAAAAATTAAAGCTGATGTTTAACTATGATGTGTTTATAAAATCTCAGTTTGTTACTTGAGCAAGAGGGAAGGTGGCAAATGCTAAGAAAGCTGAAATGAACATGACATTTACTTGCCAGAAGAAAAGTCTGAAATCCTTAGGAATCGTTTACAACTTAAACCTTTCTATACGGGCTTGGTAACTTTGACCAACCTTGCAACCACCAGGCAACACTGAAAGTATATATATACTATAAACTTTGATGCAATAAGTGTATCCTCACAAAATTTGGCAAACGTTTGGAACCATTACAGATCTTTTGTACATAACATCAGATTTTTTTTAACTAAGAATTTTTACTAAAGATTTGTCTGTGAACTTATGGAGTCAGTTTAATTAGTCTTGAGTGCAAGGTGATTTTCATGTTGAGATTGAAAATACTTTCTTTCATTGTACAGTTTTCAAATTTCATTTGCCTAACCTTTAGAATCTCCTAAATTAATGTAAAAATTTTAACAGAAAATTACAATTATTTATCCTAAGCAGCCTCAGTCTTGTAACAATTAATATCTCTTTTCATTTACTTTTGTTTTATTGCTCTTTGAACTGTCTAACTACTAAACCTGCACAGTAAAACATCAAACTACTTGGCAACCACTTAGTTCAAAATACTGATTTATGTGTATAACTTGCTGAGAAATATTTTTACTTTTTTCTTATCTAACCTAATACGTTTCAAATATTTACATCATAGTTTGTTTTATATCAAAAAGTAAAGAAAAATTATGAAGAAAAGAAGTAAATGTAGGGATGGGTAATATCAATTCTTCAAAAAGAATGCAAACAAGATTTTAGAGATGGCATTTGCATCATCCTTACATAATAGTACAGGCACATAGTGTAGTAGAATGTTAACAGACAAATATAGGATAAATTAAACTCAATTGTGATTTAATAGTTATATATGTTAATTCTTGCCTATGCTATTATTTAGGGATGATGTAAATGCCATCCTTACTATCTTGTTTGCATTGTTTTTGAAGGATTGATATTCGCTATCCCTATATTTACTTCCATTTTTGAAATTTTTTTCATTACCTGTTTGCTTGTTTTTTAATGTTGTGTTTCAGTAGACATAGGAAGGTTGTTTATTACCAAGTTCTAAATACAATGAATTGCCAACTGGAATATTTATTGTTTATCTATTATTGGCTGGTAAGTTCTGTGTCATCATGTACTTAAGCTTTTTAAAGGAACACCAGACTTCTGTGAAAAAAAGTTAACTTCAAGGGGTAATGATAATATTGTTTACACTAGAGTTATGATTTTTTCAAAGTTACTACTAGTTATTATAACTAATTGATGACATTGTGCAGTGCCCAGAAACAAATAGTGGATTTAGGTTTAAATTGACATTAGTAATAAAATAGTTGAAGTTATCTTGACTGAAACAACAAGAAGAAAGATTAACAATTTTGTGGGTTGGTCACTTTTTGGTTTGATATCTCGGCAATTATTTCTTGTCTTGTTTGGGAGCTTGTTGGGTACAGTATCAAGTGATAAGTGAGTGGCAATCATCTTATAAAGTAGAATTCTCTGTTATTGTTGATTTTTTAGCATGCATATTTGTATTATGCTTATTGAGTACCTTGGCCATTCCTATATATAGTCGACCAACTCTGTGATACACTCTAAAATTTTGTAAGCTATATTACTAGCTACAGAGTATTGCTTTGATAGTGTAAATGTTATCCCTCATTATGCCAAAGCCCTTTTCTTCAGTCATGTTTTTGAGTTGGACTCCATCTGTGTTAAAATTGTGATTCAAATTATGTAAATCCAAATGTATTCCCTTGTGCTTACTATAATTAAAAGGTAATTTGTCACATTTATCCAGCTTATCAGTTGATTCAGATCATTCTTTAATACCTTTACATACTCAGTATAGCTAGGAATATTGAAGAGTGATGTCATCAGCTTTCTTTACTAATTATGACACATTAATGTAAACAAGAAAAAGCAAAGGCCCGAGCACTTACCTCTGAGGTACTCAAAAAGTAGCATGGGTCTTATTTCACTGAACTCCATGAACATAACCTTTTCTTTCTCATACCCAAAAATCCAATTCACTAGTTTTTCTTTAACACAAACTGATGCTATTTTCTTAGCTTTTTTGTGGTACCTTATCAAAAGCTTGTTGAAAATCTGAGTATACTAAGTCCACACCCTTTACATCATCCAGATAATTAATATTCTTGAAAAAAAGATAAGATTAGTAAGGCAACATTTTCTTTTCTATATAATTTTTAAATATTTTAAGTGAATAGCTAAAATTTAATTGAAAAATCAGTTTATAAAAACCTAAGTTAAAGATGAGAAATCAGTATGCTTGACATAAGGTAGCTGCTCACCTCAGAATCACATAGGGTTGTTTTATGTAGCACTAATATTAGAGGTTTACTCTGTATTATAAAATTAATCAAGGTCACTATCTGTGGGTAAGATCACTCTAAATCAGGCAGTGTAGTAAGCAATAACCTTGCTGAGATTTTTTCATCTTTTTTTTTTACCATTGTTTATAACATCAATACACCTTTAACTGGTTCACCTGAGCAGTCTTTTTGAACAGTTGTTTTTGAAGAAAAAAATATCTATTCAATGTATGCCAGTGGTTGAGAAATATACAAAGGAACATTTATTATGGGTAGACATAAATGAAAAACTAATTTGAATTTGACTTGGTAAAAAAATTATGACTTTTAATTGACATTTATGTTGCTTAAAGTGTGAAATCCAAGTAACCTTACTGGTTTTAAAATAATTTTCAGAAATATGTCCAACTTATACCCTGTTAAACATTGTATTATTATTAGTAAAACAAGCTGAATAAATTTCTTGTTCTATGTAGTAGTAATAAAATTCAATACACGTAAATTAAATTGGATTTCAAGAAAATTAGGTTATAGGTGAACATGAAATAAGTTTTAGCATATACTAGAACTTGTTTATCATAAATTACTCATTCCTTCAGTCTAGCTGGCCATCCCATCATTATTTTGATGGGGTGGTGCATTGGTGACTTGATGATCTCTTGTTCTGACACATGGCAGAAATCCAGTTTTTGTTATGCAAGGATTACAATGATTTTGGTGGCAAAATGGCCTTCTTTCACCTTATTCTTTTGTGCTTGCTTACATTGAATTTTATGAACTAGTCTTCTGCAATATTTTTGTGAGTTTTGATTTATATTGTTTTGTATAGTCTATTTGTTCTTTGATCATTCATTTAGTCTTCAAGAGGAAGCTTGAAGTTGTAATCACTTTAAAAGTCCTTTTTTCTTAAAGTATCACTGTATTTAATTTCCTTAATATATTAAAAGAAATTGGAGGAGTTGAACAAGTATTCAGACTTCAACAACTATTTAATATTTGTCCTGACAAAACTTAAGTCCGAAGGTAAGAAATTTTATAACACTGTTTCTTCTAAAATAGTCTTATGTTAAGCTACAGTAATGAAAGGGATCTGTGAAGTAGTATTGTTTGCAGCTGTAATTAAAATAAATCCTTTATTGACCTATATTTCTGTCTAGTATTTACCATTTTGTATTTTGGTGAAATATTTAACTGCATAATAACACACATTGTAATAATAATATTTATTGTAATTTATGGTCTGATTATATTATCATCAAAATGTTTTTTATATCTTTTGGTGAATTGTTTGACATTCCAAAATTTTGTTTGTTTGTTGTTTGTGGAAAGTTAAAACCAATATATTTGTCTGTAGAATATAAACTGAATTAGTTTCAGTATTTAATTGGTAAACTTGCCTGAAGTATTAACTTAAATTTATTTGCTTGTATAGTTCTATTGTTCTTAGTTCTTGAAGCATTTTAAGGTAACTTTTTAAAATTATTTCCTGATGGTGTAGTAGAACTTAGCTTTTTTAAATATGTTGTTTACATTTTTTTATATAATGTTAAATTATAATAATATATCATGATAAAGCAATACTGTTTTCAACATGTTTGGTAAAACATACTGTATTCTTAATAAGGTTGAACTATTTTATGACATAAACCAGTAGAAATAAAGTAATATGAATATACTGAACTCGTTTATTAACAAGTCTCAGACAAAAGTTGAAGTTTTTTGTTAAGTTTAATTTGAAGTCAACATGAAAAAGAGATATGGGTTACTGTTTGTTTAAGGATAAGTTTGGAAGTTTATGATACTTAAGATAAAGAATTATTACAACAGATTAAAGAGTTAATGACTTAGTTTTAAAGTATTCAAAAATGGTATTAAAATCTAATGAGTATTTTTCTGTGTAATTTATTTATGAATCTTGATTTACTTGCATAGTCACAATTGGGTAATTAACCAGCTGGGCGTTTTATTTACTTAATGAGAATTAAAACTGTTTGATTCTAATGCTGTCATTATGTAGTTTAATGGTTATCATATTGGTCACTTTTGATTGTACTCTTATGTTGCGTAATATGTCAGGACTCCTGCTGCCATTTTCCAATTTTTTTTGTGATAAAGACTTCACTGTATTACCTGGTGATAAAATATATTGTGTAGTGAAAATCATTGGCAAAAATAAAATTTCTAGTTCAGAGACACAAAACATTGAGCTTTATGATTACCTAAAATATATTTAGACCATTTTTGAAAATAAAAGCAACATAGAAAAATAAGGTTTCTCTTTCAAAAATAAAAATGAAATAATAAAATCATAATGGTAGATTTCAACTGTACCATGCCTGGGTGTGAATATTTGACTCACCTGTTGAATGGTTTGTTTTAATGAATTGTAAAAAAAAGACTACTGCATGAAATACTTTGCAACCTCAGAACAACTTTCTACAGATTAGTACCTTTTGCATATAATGTTTTATTTGATGCTTGTATAAATTTGTGGCTCTGAAAATTTGGAAAGATTTCATTCTGACATATTTTTTAAGAAAAACAATTAAAAATTCTTATATTTGTTGTATATTTTAATAACTTATTTTTACATCTCCCTACATTCTTGTAGAACTTTCTTATGAAGTTTTTGTTTTATAAAGTGGAATTTTACCTTTGTTTTGATTTGAAAAACAGCTCTCAATTTCCTTGTATTTACTATCACTGGTGTTCAATAAAAATAACTTTTTTACCAAACAAATTATAAGCAAACTGACTTTTTCTTTTTAAGAATAAAATCATGTTAATGAATATGCAAATTCTTCACACTACCACTTTATCTAACTATGTGGTTAAACCAGCCTTGGAACATGAAAACTTTGAGAGCTTAGATGGCATGATGTATTGCTTCTAGAGCCATCATCCAAACTCTTCAAAGCAGCATTGTTATAATAATCTCTGAGTTAACTAGTCTAATATTTATGTTGTTCAACAAATACAATTTTGTCATGCACATTTGAGACAGTTGAAACTGTAGTGCTGTCATCCATTGGAGTTTGGAAACTTTCTTTACCCAGGAATCCCTATTTCTTCCTAAAGTGCCTAAAAAGCAAGAATCTATCTGCCCTTTCATTGCATTGACCATTGCTAATCCAGTTCCTCTTCCCAGCTTGGGTTCTTCCAGAAGCTGACTTTCACCTCCTCCAGACACAAGAATCAAGTCAATCTACAGTCTCTTTCCCAGTGGATGGTCAAGGGATGGGACGGACTGAATGATTCCTTGATTGTCCATTCAGAAAATTTCCTTTTGGAGTTTTGCTTGCTGCCTCTGAATCAATGTATGGTTCAAACTCAAGCCTGAAATGTCATGACCCAAAGTATCTGCAGCTGAAGTCAAGAGAAGAGTGTTTTTTTGGTCACTCACATTGGTTTGTTTCAGTGTTGCTGCCAGTCCAGGATTGAGAATGGTTGCTTGAGCTTTTAGGTCACAAATGACCTATATGTGGGGGAGCCCAGGAATGTTAGTCATCATTAATAGTTAGGGTGACAGTTCCATCAGTACTGGGTGAGCATGTTCATGTCCTGTCTCTGCCTTCTTTTTTTTCTGACACTGTTTTTTTCTTTAGCATGTTGTTGCTGCACTTCTTCCTCTTATTTCCTTCTCTTCTCCTTTCTTATCAAAATGGTGTTCACCAGTCCCATTTTGCCTGAACATCCCTTCTGTATTTGCACCAATAGCCATATCTTCTTTGATTTTTATTACTTCCAGTGCCTTGGTTTGGGTGACTTCAAAGCAATCATCCAGGTCCTCTTTGAACCTCTCTTCCTTGGCTTCAGTGTATCAGATCTTTTTGTCTTATTTTCTTTGTTGTTCTTAAGTTTTATTCATGCATCAAACTATGTGCATCTTGAGCCGAGCAGGAATCCTGGATATGTCCCAGAATTGAATCTGAGATGGAGAGAGCACTTGAACAAGCCATTCTTTTTTAAATGAAAGGGGGAAAAAGAGAACCATCACTTCTCTTTTTGACAGAGGCTTCATGCCAGTGAATTAATGAGCCATGGTACATGGATGTACTGATTTTTAGACCAAAGAGCAGAAGAAATCTCAGACATTAGCAAAGTAGAGCAAACATAATCTTGGTAGCAACCTCTACTTTTGAATGTATTTTGCTAAAATGTAGTCTAGTTTAGTTTTTCAAATGCCTGGAGTTCCCCACTAAAAACTCTGAAGTTCAAATATAAGGACAATCCTAAACTTTAGGCACCAATTCAAGTGTGATAAGAGTTATGACACTCCCACAAAGCTTATAGCATTAAACTGAGAGAATGAGCTTACAGATATTGTTATAATGTAAAGAAGTTAGATTTGAAGAAATTGGTGTTTGAAGTTGGAGTGAATTAAGACAGGAAAAAGCAAAAATACTTGTATTTATAAAAACTTGTATATTTTTGAAAATTTCATTATTTTCGAGATTTTTTCCAATCAGCCTGGTGTTCATTCAGTCAGTGACTAATCTTTAATTACCAGTTTAATAAATGACAGACAACAGTATACAGTTCTTGGGATATTTTCAAACCTGTTTTTGTTTCAAAGACCTTTTGGATCTCATTCTGTTATATATACATGATGGTTTATTTTAATTTTAATATGAGAGTATTTAGTTTATACTGTGCAAGTGTTAAAGTAAGTTATTTTCATAAGAAGTACGTATAGCAAGTTTGCTTACATAACTGTTTACGACTTTGTTGTGTAGTTCAGTTGTTGTGAATTTACGTCATATTACTCAAATCTTCTGTATTTTTCTCATTGCTATTAGTGAGTATTCTTACGTTATAGCATCTCATAGTTTGTAGAATGTTTTAGGCCTCAGTTGGGCTAGTGTATGTATATTGTGTGTGTGTGTGTGGGGGCAACCAAGCTAGTTAAGTTAGTGAAAGAGAAAGTAAGAAAACTTAAGTGAGAAATCTAGATCTAGTCTGTGTTTGTAAGTTTAGGCATAAAAAGTCGATAGTGGTGAGTTTTAAAGTTTTATAATTGCAGATTGTATTGTAATAAATAGAGAGAAGAATAATTCATCTTATCAATTGGGTTCTGAAGTAACTGAACCAGCTTATGTGGACTTGACATAAAAGATAATTATTTAAAGCTCTGAATGCAGCTGTGGTAACTCACAGGGTAAAGTACATGAATTTATCACTAATCATATTGTGATAACAGAGTAGAGGAGAGTAATTTGTGTTGTCAAAGGGTGTTCAAAAGTAACTGAACCTGCTTTTTTGAACTTTGATGAAAAAGAACAATTATTTAGTTATGGATACAACTATTATAATTTTTTGTGCATATGTTTGACTTGTTTTAAATATATTATTTGAAAACAAATGGATTGTGTGCTGTCCATTTGTTGTTCAAATTTATCTCCAAGAAGTCACAGACACCTACTGTAAATAATTTGTCCAACATAAAACTGACACATTCTTAACATTACTACAGAATGAAGCTTGGTTGCTGAATGATAAATAAAGTAGTTGTTTCAGATTCTGTTGTACTATTGGTTGTGAGATAGGTCAAGGTTATCATTGGGCCTAAACAGGAAGACCTATGTAGTCTGGAAAATAAGTTACAATTTTTGCCAGATTTTTACCTCGGATAGCTCATACATAGCTCTAAGACATGAATGGAAATAGAAAGATTATTTTTCTGAGTTGGCAAATAAGTAGAACCTTATCTGCTCTCAAGAATAAATAATTTATATGTATTCAAACAGAAGTGATTTATGGTGAATAATTGTATTGTAGATAATAACAAAATGTTAGATATTGAAAACTACAAGTTAATTATCAGCTGCTTTCAAGCTGATGAATTCAAAGACATTTCCTTCAAGAAAACCAGATAGGTTTTTATTATTGTGAATAATAATCAAATATTTAGTAATTTTGATATTACAGATGAGCCAACAAGATCTTTAAGTGGACTGATTTTGAAAAACAACGTTAAGGCACACTTTCACAAGTTTCCTCCTGAAGTGGCAGAATTCATAAAGTCAGAATGTCTCGACAGTGTAGGAGATCCTTCTCCTCTAATACGTGCTACAGTAGGGATTCTCATAACCACTATAGCTTACAAGGGAGAACTGACAAACTGGACAGAACTTCTTCCTCGCCTATGTCAGATGCTAGATTCAGAAGATTACAATGTTTGTGAGGTAAGTTTGAAAGTGGTAAAATTTTGCTGTTTTAAATATCTTTATCCATTAATTTGTCAGTTTTATTTACTTTCCTTGTCTAAGGTTTACTGATCAGCATGATATGATAACTGTGCCATTGTGCTAAGCAAAATTATAAACACGGGTGTTAAACTAGCATGTGAAGACAGTAAGACAGTAGTTTTTAGCACATTTGTTATTACATACACATTTTGTACTTGTCACTTAAATGTTTCTGAAAATAACACATTATTTTCACTTGAATGATACTTAGAAATCTTTATTTTATTGCTTGATAACAATCAAAGTATAAATGTCTGAAATAGATTATGATGATATGAAGCTCATACATTGTTTTATTGTTGTTGAACACTTCAACTAATTTTGTCTTAAATTACTGAGACAGCAATTATCTTACTAAATAACTTGGGGTCATAAATTAATTTATTTGTTACAAATACAAAAGGTTTTGATAAGGTAACTAGTTTACTGATGGAGTAGAATTTACTTTCTTTAATCATGTAGTTTAAACCTTTTGTAAAATATTAAGCTATGATAATGTATCTTTCAGTGATATGAAAAAGCTAAGAAATGTTTTGAAAGTATTGGATAAAAAATATTCTGTATTTGAAGAAAGTGAATAATTGTAGCATAATTGCTAAAGAAATCGAAAACTACAAGTCAAGATTGAACTACTTCCAAGCTGGAGAAGCCAACAAAAAAAGTTGATCATTAAGGGCCAGTTTAGCTATATAAACTTGCTCTTAAACCAATACTGTTGTATGTGACATGAACTATAAAAAAGGATTTTGATGTATGAACACATTTGCCTAATGTGCAACCTTGATTCTCTAATTAAAGTTTCACCTTTTCTGCCATTATGAATACTTTTGAATAGAGATAAAAAAAAGCATCACAAATAAAAGCTCAAATTAACTAACAAAATATAGTGAAAATAAATCTGTGGTACAATTAACAGTTTTGCCAAAACCTAGAACAAAAGGTATGCAGTAAAGTAGAAATTGAAAGACTAACTGTTGGCTTGAATTAAGAGAAATGCTTACAAAGACAGTACTTACAGTATTATGTAGTTTAGTTAAACCAATAATATTAACCCTTTCTGGACCCGCGAGGACCTTTCAGGAGGTAAGTGCACAAATACATGTCAAATTTAAATAAAAATAACTATTTCAACAATATTTTATGCAAAAATGTTTCATAAATGATATTTTGTCACTAACATTTCTTTATATATTGTAAGTTGCAAAAAAAAAAAGACAAAGCAATGTTCAGATTTATATTTCTGTACAGCTTTGAGGAACTTTGTCTGTAAACAATGTACTTAGGATTTTTTTAAAGAAATTTTATTTCTATCCCAAAGCATACGCTTAAATTTATTAAGAAACTACCATTCCTTGAGTAATTTTCAAGGGTTAGTTTCTAATGTTAATTTCCTTCTCTTTGATTTTATTACAATGGTCTGTTGTTCGCACCATTTGTATGACCTCATACCATGTGATCAGAACAAATACTAATGTAGTTCTGCTTTTAAAATAGCTACAGACCAAGATTAATTACCACTGAATAGAGCAGACTACAACAATTAGGTGAGTGTAGAGGGAATAAACGATGTGTGAAGTAATTTATGGTTTTGCAGGAAAGTGACAAGACCTAGCTTGTGCAGAGTAAAACAATGGAATGTAGTGGGAAGTTTAGAAAACGTAGGAACACCACAGATCTGTTAATTTTTAGAGTTATTTTAGATATTCTTTTTTGTTCCTTAAAACCATCTTGTGTAAAATATTTGTTTGAAAACTATGAATATTTTCTTCTATGACAAGACATCAGGTTATCTTATTAGGTTAACATAGTATTGTAGGTTATGGCAGAATATTCTGGTGACTCAAATCCTTATTTACTAAATATTATTCTAAAGTTTATTGTATTCAAACAATGCAAATAAATAAAAACTTAATTTATTGAATAGAAAGTATATGTGTGTAAGTATGAATTGATTTTAACCAAGAATATTGTTAGTAGAAGTATTTTTACCTAGTCTGACATTATGCTATTGTGACAGGTCTGGTCATTTGTTAGTTTTAGCTGTTTTTTTATAACTTATAACCAGAAATTGTCTACTACAATTGGTAATAAAAATGTATCAAAATAAATATGTTAATTAATATCAATCATGTTTAAATTGAGTGTATATGTGTGTGTTTGTATATATATGAAACGGAACTGCTGAACATAAAACAAATTGTATACTAAGAAAAAAAGGAATAGTTTTTAATGGATTTTTTTTTAATATTGTCTCAAAAATGTTTTGGAAATGTTAGAACATGGAAAATTGTAGAAAACTAAAAATGAGTTTTTTAAAAGTCAAAACTAGATACTGTTTAGTAAGTTTGTACTAAGTTTAATTTAATATGGTTAAGTTTTTCAACTGTGAGAAGGAAGAAATTAAGAGATATCAGCAACCTTCCATCCCAGTTCACTCCAGAAAGTAATAGTAAATATTTGTATATGTGCATCAACCATAAATTCATATTCCTTCACTGTGATTGAAACCAGATTACATCAAAAATGGTCACTAAATTCTGTATTCAATTTTCTGGGTAAAACTACTATTTTAATAATTGTGCTGAGATGTATTCTGTGTTTTGAAATATAAATATAAAAATAACACATGACAAGTTATGCACCAAAGACAGCATTGCATTTTCATTCTTTGTAGCTCCTAACCTTACAGGTGTTAAGTTTGATACACATGACTAAGTACATTGCAAAAATTTATACAAGTAAATAGCCAAATGTGACAAGAAGAAAATACTTGTCATTTCAGTTATGGGGATGCTATTATGTGACAGTTATTCCCACTATTTACTGGTAAATAAGTAGCCTAAATGTTTGTGATGGGTGATGTTGACCAGTTGACTTCTCTCTAGTCTGTCACTCAAAATCAGGGACTGGCAGTGCAAATAACCCTACGTTTGGCATCAAAGTGTAGATTATAATTCAAATTTTAGTATTACAAATTAGTTAATTTTGTAATTTAAAAGTAAATATTAAAAAAAAATTCCTAAATCAATTTTTGTGTCATGGGGTGTGTTGAATGCAGCTTTGGTTCAAATTAGGTGTTTGTGATGTCCAAATACAAAGTCTATAGCTTCTTCCAAATTAGAAACTGAAATTATCAATATTGACAAGCTAGAATATAAAATAAGAATCTCCTATCTTTTCTGTTTTCTGAGATATTATTATATTTAGTGAATCAACCAAGGTGGCCCATCCACCTCTTCCATTTTTGGAAATGCTTAGGTACACCTACTTCACCCTTTGACATGTGTATAACCAACTGATAGCTCAGAATGTCTCCCACGTGGTTTTCTCAGCCATTTTGAAGTGTTTATGTGGGAAAACTTTCCTTTCCGTGGTAGAATCGAAGCAGAGAGGTAATATATTTTTTTAGATCCAAATACAGCATTGTTAGTAAGCCTAATAAGTTACAGTTGAATTCTGTTGGTATCGATTTAGTAATTTCTGATTTTTTTTATTTCAAAATGCATATATATAAAAACTAAAAAATTTTTACATCCTACACATGCAAAATTTGACAAGACCTAGCAAATTATGGCAAGAGTAGAAACTTCGTAAGAAAAAGAGATCATTGTTATCATTTTTTTATTTACTGTTCTCTGTTTTAAGAAAAATAACTGGAATTTAAGAACTTGTTTGTAAAAGAGTAATAATATGTATACATATGTAATGTATTATAACCCAAATGTGTGTGTATTTTACAAAATACTGGTCCACTAGAACAAAGCCAAGACAGGTCACTTTGTAAAGGCCAATTTTATACTATTGGATATGATAACATGAGTGCACGTGTGCCGCATCATTTCAACTTTTGAAATATAATAAGCTATAATAAGCACAAAATGGTTGAGATCGGTCCCTGGGGCTAAGCCCTGTAGTGACAGAGTTAATTTGCTATGTGCAAAAAATCAACAAATAACAAAAATAAAATGTAAAAGTATAATATTTTTATCAAAAAAAAATATTACTTTGGATGGCAAATTTATGTTTTTTGTACCTGCAGTTTAAGTTGTCACTGACCAGTAATTATTAATTTATTAGTAGTAAGATTTTAATGATTAAGTGAAATTACTTCATGTTGATATTTAAGTTACATTTCCCACTGCATCACAGATGTATTTATTTTCAGTATTTTTTTACTATACTATTTTAGCTCTCCTGCTTTTTGATGTTTTGCATTACTTGATAATTTTGATGCATCTGTTAGAATGTACATGTGACTTTTCCTGTACACAGTTTGTACATATGTATGCAACTACATTTGCTGTATATAGTATTTCACCTCAGAATAGTTTTACATGTAGGTCTTTGTTCTCTCTGTGTTAACTCTGCTAATCTCCTGTTTGTGAGTGCCTTAAAGTTGGTAGCTATCACTTCCGGTTACATTCAGATACAAATATGTGAATTTACTTAGAAGCATGTGTGAAATGCCCTTACTCCCTTCATACTGCTTTGAGAGTAAAAATGCCATACCTGTTAAACTAAGATCAAAGTTAAGAAAATTAGTGTTTGAATGAAAGATGGCACATGATTAGCCACCAGCAGTGTATCTGTTGCTCCCCATTAGGTACATGGTAAATATTAGTGTTTTATTGTCTGAACTTCTCAAGCAGCATGTGCAATGCTATACTATATAAGCTCTTTTTAAAGGGGTTACACGTGGTTAAGTACAGTTAATACGAAACATGGTTAAAAAAGTAAGTATGTTTTTAATTGTCATAAACATTTCTCGGTTGAAAAAAGTCAAGTGATTTACTGAACCACTATGGGAGGTTATATTTGATGACCTGTCACCATGGTTTTTAGTCTTGGGTTGAAGGACCAGTGTTAATTTTATATGCTATTTGTGGGATTAAATGACATGAATATATTGCTCTAATTTCATCACAGTCTTTGAAGTAGTCTGAGTTGATGATACTATTTTGAAAGCATGGGTGATCTTTATGGTGTGGACTTTAGTTTGTCCAATAACACTTTTGGTCTCTGAGAAATGCATGTCTTAATCTAAAGTACTCTAATTTAAAGTAATTATTAAATTGTATGTTTATTACTACAGTTGCTGTGTCAGAAGAAGACAAGGTTTAAACACTTGGCTAAATTTACTTAACATTGCTTTTCTACTAACCTATAACACTCACATAGCTGTAGACATACTGAACAATGAAAATGTTTTTGTTTAAAGGTGCAGAATTGCCAAATCAAGTCACTTTGTTTTTTCCACAATTTTTTTTTAATTTACTTTTGAAATGCTGATGCAGCAGAGATTTTGGCTTGTAGACAAACTAATTTTAACTTACCTCATAGATCAGAAGCTAACAGAATCAGGAGAATATGATTACACTGAACAAGTAGAAAAAAACTGTGATGTAAACTTAAAACTTGTTAAACTTGTGTTCCAAAGTAATTAATAGAATGCAAACAATAGCAGCTCTTATGATGCATGTTTTTCTATGAAAGTTGATTTTATAAAATACTACAGTTCTTTTTATTTTTAAATATTAGGAAAATGTTACTAATGTTTATTTAGCTTTTTGGAGAAAGTTTTATACATTACTGGATTTGTATATATTTTGTTTTATATAATGTTCAGAAAATTTTCACTACTTATTCACATGTATGTCATTAAGTAACCCAGATTTTAAATCATGTATGTTTTTATCAGTTGTTTTTTATATTAGAGTTAAAACAAAATTTATAAAATGACACTGAAAGTACTTTTAAAATTACATTTGATTCATAGCAAGCTAACACATTCTGAGGATGTTAAGTAAATCTGATAAATTGACTATTTTAGAATATATTGAAATTCAAGTTTTAAAACTGAAGAAATTCTAATGCTTTAATTGAATGCAAGTTTTTACTCATCATAAAGACATTAGACATGACATGGGCAATAATGTATGGATGTTTTGTGATTTCTTGATTCTAGGGTGCATTTGGAGCTTTGCAAAAGATCTGTGAAGATTCAGCAGAGGTATTGGATAGTGAAGCTTTAGATCGACCATTAAACATTCTCATTCCAAAGTTCTTGCAGTTCTTTAAACACAGCAGCCCGAAGATAAGATCTCATGCAATTGCCTGTGTCAACCAGTTTATCATCAGCAGAACTCAGATATTAATGATGCATATAGATCAGTTCCTGGAGGTAAAATTGTTTTTGTGCTGATTAGTGATTTGTTTTAGGCAACTGTGTGTGTGATATTTCATGGGGGCACATTTGAGTTTCAAAAATATTAATCAGTTTTTGGATATGTTTTTTTTTCTGGATCAGTTACTCATGGTAATATTGTATGTGTGTTAATAAATCAGTTGCTGGAAGTAAACTTGTGTTTGTGCATATAGTTCAGTTTTTGAAGTTTTCTTTTTAATATTTTTTGTTTTGATACATTTTGTAAACTTATTATTTGTTTTTGTGATTTGTTTATTGTTACTGTTTGTTTTGAAAAGACTATGACAGATGCTATGTTTTTGGTTTGATAAAATTTTGTGAATAATTCTCTAAGGAAGGCTTTTCAATGTTTAAATTACTTATGTTTTGTAGAAGTGTTATTAATATCAGTTAAGAAAACACTTCACCTGAGTGATATAATAAAAATATATAGTTTGGGCATATAACCGTTATAATCAAGGGTATCCACAGAGATGGGGGGGCTAGGGGGGCACTTACCTCCTCTGGAAAATGAGATACCTTCATTCATTCAGTGTGTGTGTGTGTGTATGTATATATATATATATATATATATCCAAGTTATTGTATATTTATTTTTCATATTGTATGTTTAGAATCTATTCCACTTGGCTTCAGATGAAGATCCAGAAGTGAGGAAGAATGTGTGCCGAGCTTTAGTCATGTTGTTGGAAGTCCGTATGGATCGTCTAATTCCACACATGCATAGCATCATAGAAGTAAGAGCTAATTCAAGTTGTGTGTTGTTGTTGTGCATCACACTTGTTATGTACAGCATTAAAGACAAGTTTGTAAATTATTAGGTGCATAAAGAAGGTTAAATCCTTTAAGTGTACACTGATTTCTGTTTTAACCTTAAAACTATGCTTAGTGATTCATTGAATAGATATTATCTCTAAATGTAGTGTTTCAGGTTTTGTTAAATTTCATTTTTCATTTAGTAATATATATGCATTAACACTTAAGCTCCCCCCCCCCCCATTGTCCCAGCAGTACATCTGTGGATATAGAGACTGGGTTTTTAATACCCATATACCCATGATAGATACCCAGAGCACAGATAGCCCAGTGTGTAACTTTGTGCTTTCTTTACTTCAAACAAACGTTAACACTTGCTACTGGCTTAGTCAGATCATCAGAGTTCGTGACCTCAAATTGACCTTTATAGTTTCCATACTATAATTTATATGTTTTGTGTTTTCACAATTTCTCAAGTTTCAGTAAGCAATTAAGTCTTGTTGAGAAAAACTCTGAATTTTTAATAAAGTATTTTCACTAAATATTTCTCCGTGAATATATGGAGTGAAAGCGTTGTATTCCACATGTACTACAGAGGCTTGTGCACTTTTATATCATCATTCATCAAACCCTTGGGCCAATCGAGTTTTGTTGGAAGGACTCTCCCTCCTTTTCTTCACACCTCTCTCCTTATCCCCTTCACAAGTTTCTTCCCCTCCTCTCAAGATCCCATTTCCCACCAGTGTCTCAAAGAAGTGATTCAAGACCTTTTCATTAAGGGTGCCATTGAACAGGTTTCTCCTGTGCTTCCAGAATTCTAATCCAGATGTTTTGTCATCCCCAAGAAGACCGGGGATTGGCATCCTGTTTTTGATCTATCCCATTTGAATTGCTTCCTCAATGTGCCTCAGTTTACCTTGTAATCCTACCTGTCTCTCAGATGGGCCTTTCGTCCAGGGCTTTGGATGATGAGAATTGATGTGTCTGATGTTTATCTTCACATCCCTATTGCTTGGGCTTCACATCATTATCTATATTTTGTCCACAAGGATCACGTGTATCAATTCAAAGCTCTTCCTTTCATGATAGCATCGGCAACCTATGTTTTCTGGTGGGTGGTTCAGTCATTTGCCCAATTCCTACATTCTCGTGGGCTCAATTTCTATCATTATATGGATTACTGGCTTTTTCTGGCTCCATCCTTTGCAGAGTCTTCCTCACACACAAGGAGAAGCTGCTTGGGTGAGTTGGATTATGAAGGTGGAGATGTCCATTATCCACTCCCCTCAATATCTTGTTCATCTTGGAGTGTTTTTTTAACTTGCATCTCAGTCGAGCCCAGCCTTTTCCTCTTTGTCTGTGATCTATGGAGTTTTTAGTTCAGAGGGCATTATTAGCACCTCTTCTCCTTGCACGAGAGGTTCTGTCTCTTTTGGGGACTTTGGCATCACTGGAGGCTCTTGTCCCTCTGGGCCATGCCCACATGCATTCCTTGCAGTGGGTACTACAAGCTCAATGGCACCTCATCAAGGACCCTCTGGATTTACTGATACCCCTTCCTGTTTCCTTTCTATCTGACTTCCTCAGGTGGTTATACAGGGACAACACAACAGTAGGGGTACCTATTCCAACTCCCCGTCTGGATATCCACATCTTCACAAATGCCTTGTCAAGATAAGGTGTGTGCTGCAATACACAGGAGATCTTAGGCAGTTAGTCTTGGGAGGAGTTAGGTGTTCATGTCAATTTTTTGGAACTCCTTGCTGTTTGTCACCTCTTCAGGGCATGACAGTTGTGATTCATTCCAACAACTTGATGGTTGTCTTGTACGTCACCTGAAAAGGGGGCACTCAATCCCGATCCTTATGTCCCTGCACTTTAGAGCTCCTCTTCTGGGCTCACAGCCATTAAATTCGTTTGCTAGCTTGTCACATACCAGCTTCCCTCAATCTTGTTATGGTTCATCAACATTCACCACATTTTATACTACAAAGCCTATCTTTGTATATCCAGTCCATTCCTTCCTTCCCAAAACGTCATCTGCCTGCAAAGGAGATTTCACCTTCACCCTTATTTCCCTTCCTTCCATATCCCTTATTTCCTCCTACTCTGATCTGGATAGTCTCCTGTGTTCAGTCCCTGCTTTACAGTGCTACGTGTCATGCAAAACACCCTTCTGTGGCTCTCACTGCCTTTCTCCTGAATCTTGCCAGTTGTTTAGTGTTTTGTCCCATCAGATCTGTCACCTCTCAATGTCCTTGGCTGCTCGCTTCTGTCATTCTTTGGAGGAGATTATCCAGGCCAGTATGTGCACTACTTCCCACACCTTTGTGTCACGTTACTTGCACTATCTTCTGGTTTCCTGCTCAGCTGGATATCATCTTTTTCCTGTAGCAGTTCTCCATATGTGTGTACAACTCTGAGTGAATAAGTTATTTTTGTTCCTTTTTTTTTTCAGGGGCCTATTCTACATAATATGGATCCTGCTCTGTGGCGAGTGGTGCCTATCAAGGTATAACGATCTCCAAAATCAGCACTGTGAAATCTGTAAGGTCTTTCATGCTCACTGATAAGATAGGGCGTTCCAAGCTTGCAGGTTCTTCCTCGTGGTATACTGCATCATGAATATGTTCGTACTGGACCGTACACTCATGGACAAACATGAATAAAGCAGAAAGAGATTGCTCCCCATCTCTAACATTCCTTAGATTGACAGAATCTGGAACAAGGTTTTGTGGTCACCTATTGCACTTTCACCTGTGATCCATTCCTCTGGACTCCAGTGCCTTTCTTTCCCCTCCATCCAGTGGAGTATGGGAGTCCATATCACTTGCCAGCCCCTAACTGCTGGAGTTGTGGATCTTGGAGGAATCTTCCTGAGTGTGCACAATTCTGCTCAGTTGAGAGTAGGACAGTGGCATTCTGCCTGTAAAGAAGGCATGACTATCCTCCTGCCACGGGTCTGATGTTTTATTCTAACATCTGGACTGAACTGGAATTTTTCATCTGCTATGCAGTTTGTCCCTCTGGCTGGGAACCCTCCCTCTTGCCACAGCAGCCACAATAAGTTCTCACATGTGAGTAGATTGGAAACTTCCTCCTACTACAGACTGGAAATGACCCTCCATGTTGCATTTCCACCTTCCAGATGTACATTTCCAGGGTTTATTGTTCCAGGTTGTGTTGGATTTGCACACATGTTGGGTTAGGTTCTCAAAATGGAGGCTTCACTTCCCTTCTGGTTCCTACACCTGAGGTGAATGGTTGAGGACCTTCCTCCAGCCAGGAAATGGTCAAGTTCTTTCTGATTCCACTGGTTTGGACTGGGATTGACCTCCTGATTATGGTTCAACGTGCCCAGCCACTCTACACAAATTCCTCTTCCTTTTGGATATGAGATGGATAACTTGTTCTGCCCTTGTTTTGTGACACAGCACCAGTTGGCTCCACTTGGGCAATGAGTATACTTGGTTCAGATGTGGTGCGTTCTTCAATGGGTGTATTTCCTCTACATAAAGGTGGCACACTCTATGGTGCTCTTCAGATGCTTTTGAAGGGTGCTTATCTATGTAATTTTTATACCGGTCCTTCCACCTGCTCAATGTGGGATTCTAGCTGTAAGTGTGAAGGGAGGTAAGAAATCATGTTGGAAGTTGAATTATGCATGGGCATGAAACCAAATTCACTAGTTAAATTATTTAAAAATAGTAAGGAAAATCAATACTAGATGGTTTTAGTACAAAAAAAATTGAAAATAGTAGGGAATAAAATATTAAACATAAAACATCTAAAATCATTAATGTGCAAATCAACAATTACATATTTTGTTTGTACAGGTAAGAGAAGATTTATCAATCAAGAATTGTGTGTGTGTGATATAATAAATTGATCATCTGTAAAGTGTTCATCCCTTCCTTCTCAAGTTTGCTGTATACTTCTTTTTGGAGAAAGTTTTAGGACATTACTTTTTATTCAAGATAATTAAGTTCTACAAAGAACATGAAAGAAACCTGTGATAATGAATATAACAAACCTCAAGTGTCTGTGTTTTCTGTTAGTAGGTTATACTTTATTCTCCCTTTTATTAATGATATTAGTTAGAATGTTTTATATATCTTATTTTTAGTTTTTCTAGTATGTTTTTTTATTATAAAGATTATTTTAAATTGTTATTTAAACCTCAGATATTATGTGGATTACATAAGAACAGTATATTAAATAAACTATTTGTTATTGGGTTGATTTTTAGTTTTTATCTATGTAGGTAGCTTGATTTGAATGTAGGTTGTAATTTTCTTCTGTGATTAACAACAATGTAGAAATGGTGCAGATAAAGATTAATGTGCACTTTCTACTATTTTCTAAACAACCATTATAACATTTAATTACAAGTTCAACTTAGGAGTTAAAATTGATTTAACACTGCACACTACAAGTTTATCAGTTTTTATAGATTACAGTAGTTTGTAAATGGTAAATATGAAAGTATAATATAATGGATAAATGCTGAATACTTTCTTATTAAAGTTTTTATGTAGATACTCAATAATTTGATTCGTATCATTTTAGTTTTTATAAAATATACCACATTTTATTTTAAGGCATGTGTACATGGGATATTTTTCCCCTATTAGCATAAAGTGGGTTTTACATGCATAATGCAAGTAGAAATCCTTTTTGGGCAACTTATGTTGTAATTCAGTTGAATGATGCTTGAGGAAAAATTATTTGAGCTATGATTTTTAGCTTTAAAGTGCAGATGAAAAATAAAACACACGTTTCTTTATATTGTGGTTTGACATAAGAATCCTAATTATTTTATTTTACTTTTTTAATAGTTTAGAAAAATCAAACATTTTATCCATAATTTAATATTTAACTGTCTCAACACAGGCTTGGTCAATTTAACCAACCATGTACTCATTCAAAGTCTTTATAGATTTAATACAAGTAACTTTTAATATAATGTATATATCATCATGAAATTTGGCAGTCTTCCAATAAATGCTATAAGTCTTTATAAATATTTTTCAGTGAAGTATTTTTAATAAACTAAAAAAAAAACAGATTTGACCTTTAATTTATTGAGTATTTGTTTTGAAAGTCCATGTGAAAAGTGATTTTCATGTTAAGTTTAAAAATACTTTTCTTCATCTCAAAGATCTCAAATTATGGATTGAAATTATTGTCTTTTTCTTTCTAGAATGATTTCAAATGTAACATGAAACTACATTTGTTTATCCCAAGTAGCTTTACACTTGTAACAGTATATATATATATCTGTGTATAATTTGCACCATTATAAGCTGTAAATCACTTGGGGAATGTACATCTCACGTTACACAATCGAATTACCTTACCCACGAGCTACTCCGAGCTGCTCACATGCGTGCCTTGTGAAATATTTTTATTGTATTATTATTATTATTTATTTTACCTAATATAACCTTAACTAACCTAATGAAATCCCTATTTTTACATTTTATTTACTTTTATAACAGTAACGAATAAACATGAAAAACATGCCTGAGTATTATTTTTTTGCTGTTGACTATTGATGACACTTAACCCTACTTTTTATACTAATGGTAGTAGTGCATTAAATAATTTTTATTTAATTAAATAATGCACCAAAGAACATACAATAATAACATGCAAAAAGCAGACAATTTCCTATGACAATCACAATTTTTCTGGATTTCTAACTATGCGACAAGAGCCATTACAAATTCATCCAAGCTAGCTGTTGAAATTCCCATGGGAACCAAAGTTGTATTACAAGTGAAATTGACGATTATTTGTTCAGAACACAAAATAATAAAATACATCATTTGATAGATGAAAACCTTGTCTTTCTATTAGTTATAGGTAATACATAATTTAACATAAGAGAGAACTATTAACAAATCCTGAAAGAAAGGATGTGACAGGTGGGTGTGGCAGGAGTGGTCTGATTTTCTGTTTGATAGCTCTGTAACTAAACAGAATTGAAGGCTATAAAAATTATGGTTTGTCTGAGCAAAGATGATTTTATAGTGTGTAATTTACGTTTAATTTTGTAGTTATTAGAGGGGTGGTGGATATAACAAAGAAGAGATCTAGAAAAAATGTTGTATGGGGAAGTTAAGGATTTTTAAAATATTTGTTTATAGAATTAAGAACTTGTATACTATTAAAATATGGATTATTAGCTAAGATTATATGCTATTCTATCTGGTATAACTTAAACAAAAAGTAGTTTAATAAAATTTCACACTAAACCTTGTGACATGTGCAATATAGGATACCTGGGGCAATAGGGTTAACACTTAGAAAACCAAAGGTAGATATTTAAATCTTGAGAATATATACTTCAATCTACTATAATGTGAATGTTATATAACCATTTTTGACCAAACCCTACTGTTTTAATTATTTGATGAAAACATTAAAGAAAAGTATTTCTACATTGTAGTGTAATGTACATTTGTGCTTTTCCCATAGTAAGCCTGAGATTTTGCTTAACTTAGCAGTAATGTAAGTATAATAGGTACAAACTAAAATCTGCAGAGTAATCATGAATAGTATAAAAATAAACTTAAGTGCCTGTTTTATTGACAAAGTAAATATATAGAGAAGTTATTGTTTTGAAGTACTGGTCAAAATCAATGCCTGTTATCTGAGGAAGTATAGGTCTCTAAACACAATTTATGTGCTCCAGAAATAAATATTAAAATAGTTGATTATATTGAAATTATTTCTCTGGTGTAGTAAACAGTGACTGTTATTCATTAGTTAATTGTCCACATTTTGATATAAAGACATGTACAAATGAAGCTGGTTCACAAAGGTAATGAAACTTGCATTGTTTTCAGAAGGTTCCATCATACTTGGTGATTTAAAATCAGAGTTATATATAAATTTCATATAAAGTTAAAAAATTTTTTATTCAATTAAATTTGAAAGGACTTTGCACTGATAAAATTTATTAAGAAATTTATCATATTAAAATTATAATACTACCCTAAAATATTGACTTCAATAGTTTGTCATTCCTATTAGTTATAAAACATGCCATAATTCTACTAACAATCAAACTTAGAAAAGTATTAAAAAGTATTTCCTTGGACCTAAGTACCTTTTGATATTTCTGCATAACATAAGCACAACTAAATAAGGGAAGGAAAGGGACACAACTTTCAGAAACATTACTAACTTGGGTTCTCTAACATGTGCTCACTTTACTATGTTTTTGTTAAAAGTTATATGCTAAATTAACATGCAAGTACACTGATTAAAAATCACAAAATGAAGAAATGATTTAACATGTGGTCAGCACAACCCAAATAGAAATCACTAGGATATATATATCATAGTTAGGATAAAGCTTCTGTTAGAAATTGATGTTATGAAAATGTTATATGTAGTATAAATTTATCTGAGTAATTTCTTTCATCTAGTACATGTTGATGAGGACTCAAGATTCAGATGATGGAGTAGCTCTGGAAGGGTGTGAGTTCTGGCTGTCTCTAGCTGAACAACCTATCTGTAAGGATGCATTAACACCACATTTGCCACGTCTCATCCCAGTGCTAGTCAGAGGAATGAAGTACAGTGAAATAGATATTATTCTGCTGAAGGTAAGGAAATGTAATAGAATATTAATGTTTGCTTGCTTAATATTTAAGGTTTTGTAGTAAGTTTTGCCATAAGTATTAAAAATCAGTGTATAAAGAAAGGATGTTAGAATCCATTTGATGTGTTGGAAAAAATCTCATGAGTGAAATTATATTTTTCACTTATCTTTTACTCTATTTGTCCAACATTATAAGAGAATACATGAATACAAGAGAAAAAAACAAATATTTAAATTTCCATATGGGGTTGGTGGATTACACTGATCTTTTGATCATAACAGTATCCTTACAATTAAGATTTTTTAAATAAAGATTTTTTGATGTATACATGGAGTTAGTGTTTACTAGTCCAAGTGCAAAGTGATTTTCATTTTAAGCTTAAAAATACTTTTTCTCATCTGAAAATTTTCAAATTTCATTTATGTAACCTCTAAAACCTTCTAACTAAATGAGACTTTTTCAGTTAAAATTTTTTTCTCTCTACCCTAACTCTATAAGGACTGTCAATTTGACTGACCTTGTAACCACAAAATAAAAATATGAAATTTAAATTACCATTTCTTCTTCTTCATTCTAGAATGACTGCAGATTGTAACAGAAAACTACAATTGTATATACTAAATAGCATTAGGTTCCTAACAGTTTACATCTGTTTCAACTTAATTTTATTGTTTTAATACCCTTTGAACCATGTTTAACTAATTTCCACCATACATGTTTTCATCCTGTGAATGTGTAGCTCAAGTTGCCATTTTGTATGACATAATGCACAAGTTATGTAGAATAGTTTGTAGACAATTTTTATAACTAATATTATTTTTTATTTTGTGAAAGAGAGGATGTGTGAGGTGGGTCTGACTTTCTAGTTTATGACTGAATAATATCTATACTATGATGAGTAACTTACATTGAGCTCTGTACATCATAAAGGGGTAGCAAATAAATGAGAGAATGGACAGGCTTTAGGAACAAATGTCATGATTCTCATACAAGGGGAGATTGAGGATTTATTTCAATATTTCTCTTTAAAATTAAGAAATTAAAATTTGATTTATTAACTATGTGTTGATATATACATTGATAATAAAGTAGTTTAGTTAAATTTTGAATGTAATTGTAAAAGGTCGACATGCACACTTTAACTTACCCATTGCTAGAGGATTAACATGTCTGTGCAAAAGTAGCAGCAAAAGTGTTACATGAAATATATTAGTGTTGGTTTAATCTTCTCTGAAGTTAGATACTCAGAAAGCAATGTGTTTTTTTATATTTTTGTTGTATTCTGGTGTTTGAAATGTTCTAACAATCTGATACTTTTGTGAAAGTTTTTGTTGACCGATTTCAGACAGAACATGAAGTGTAATTATAATTTTTAACTGAAAAATTTTACATTAATTTAATAAATAGTTTGTATCAAGTAAGTATATTTCACTTTTGTGTTAAAAATTGTTACTACATTTTGTATAAAGAAATTCTTAGATGAACTTTTTAATTTGTAATTGGCTGTGTGACAAATGTTTAAGTTTGTCTCAAGATGATATATTTTTATAGGGGGATGTTGAAGATGATGAAATGATACCAGATCGTGAAGAAGATATCAAACCGAGATTTCATAAATCTAAAACTCATAGTCAGAAACACATGGATGACAATGTAGAGGTATCAGTCTTGATTTTCCTCCTCATTATTATTTTATTTAAGTTCAGCTTCTACCCCACCTCTCACCATTGTGTTAACATTGAAATGATGTGGATTTTTTTTATCCTCCAACTTTTAAATCAATGATTGAAGTTTATGACTTGTTCTTTTCTTGATATTTTTGTATTTGAAGATGTAGTGGGAGTGCACTCATCTTCAAGTTAAGAGCTAGTTTTCTTAGCTCAATTGCAAGAGATTCAAGCAATCTAAGGTGGAATTTTTCCCACTAATGGAGAATTATATAGATAAAGAACTGGAAGTAGGTGGAACATCACATTTTTTAGACTGTGGGTGGTAATACTACTGGTGTTTTAGGTTTTAACATTATATGTTCTTTTATTCAACTGCAGAGCCTTCTAGTGGTTGATCCACTACATCCCTGGTTGCACTTTGGGCATGTATACTGCTAGCAAGGTATTCAATGGATATTTGTTTGTCTTTAAATTTAGATCGCTTTTAACCTAGACTTTTTTCAAAGACGTGTTTTAACTGAACCTGTGGATATAGCTGTTTGATAATTTTCTTGATTTTGTTCTTAAATATGTATGAAATAGTGCCTAAGTAGGATATAACTAAATTAAAATAGATTTTTTTAGGACATGTGGCATTAAAATAAGTGTGGTATTTAATTTTTCCCGTTTTGGTTTGTATTCTATTTAAGAACAACAATATAAGATAATTTATTCTAAGCATTTGTTTAGAGTTCTCAACTTCTGCATCAAAAAGGTTTAATTACGTGATGTCTTAACCCTTTCACTGTGTGATTATATTTCCGGAGTATTCCCTAAAAGCTGTTAATCCTCCATCAAAAAAGAAGTCAATTTTACATCTTTTATTACTTTTCCAACTTAAAATGACCATAAAGTTTCCATATCTAGCATTAACATTTCCTGAAAACAACATTAGATAATAGAAATTTAGATTTTCAACAAGAAAATGTGCAACATTTGTTGAAAGGGGTTCTTCAATATATGACAATGAAATTGACCAAAATGATTCAATAAGAAGCCAAATGTATTCCAAAAGCATGAAATTGCATTATATGTATAAAATATTTTCAGAACTTCTAAAAATCTTGTGGATCATGCATGTCAGTATTGAAAATCATATACATAATAAACAATTTTGTTTGCATCAACTGGCTAGATGCAGTATGATGTAAACATTTACATTGCATACCATGATGTTATGGTGTACACAACTTACCTAAATTATGATGAAAATACAGTAATAATTTATACAAAGCTAAAGAGTGGGCTAGTGATGAGTAGTTGTTTAACCATTTAGTTGATTTTAATTGATAAATAATCAAGCAATATTTTGTACAAAGTAAATATAAATAGTGCCTTGCCTCTAATAAGTAATCCAACAAGTTAATTTATTGATCAACTAGACAGTTAAACGATTGCTCAACACTAGTGTAGGCTTGTGGGTGGTGGTTCTTTATATTCCTGTTTACTGATGTTGCTCACAGCACATAGGAATGTTTGGTGGCCATTTTGAGGCCAGGAGAAATCTGTTGATTGTAGAAGTAAAGCAAAAAAAATTTAAAGTGGCCATGGAGAAGTCAGATTTTGCACTTAACAGTATTAAAGATTCAATCGACTGTAGTTGATTTTTGTAGTGAAAGGGTTAAAAGCTCTGTGTAACATGGTTTTAACTATATTTTCTTTAAAAATTGAAGGAGTGAAGCTACTTTCAAAATGCGAGTGAAGTCCAGTGAAAGTGGGTTTATGATACATGTTAGTGGTAAATATATCCTGGTTGTTTAAATAATCAACATCTGAGTGAGAGATTTTGTTATTCTGTTGATTTTCAACAGTAAACTTTATATTGGGATTTTTTCCATTAAAAAACTGGAGAAATTTGTTAACTGACTTAACGTTGTTAAACACTGCAAAATTTCTGAAACGTATCTCCTGTAATACACATGCTTAAAATGTTCAGGAAGGGACTGTAATCAAACTTTTTCATGGAAGGACAGAAAGAAATTAAGGTCAAGACTGGAGCCCAAAACTTCTTTATCAGTCTGTTCATAGATTTTACCATTGGAGATGAAAGGATTATTTCTTTGCAAAGTGTATAAGTGCTTTAAAAACATTTTTCAGCAAGTGCAAGGTCTGAATGCTTTAAGTTTGTGTATTACACAAGATATGTGTATAACATTTTTGTAGTGTTTAAATGTATAGTCAGTTAAAAAATTTCTCCAGTGTTTAAATGGTAAATATTCCGTTATACGGTTTACTGTTGAAATTCAATGGAATAACAAACTCTCATTTTTGATATTTGTTTTAAATAACCATAGGTATATCTATCACTAAAGTGTAACATAAACTTACTTTCATTGGATTTTACTCACATTTTGAAAGTTTCTCTCCTACAGCTGTAAAAATGTATGTCTTGTCTTTAGGTTTGAAAAATTCTGTATAATCTCTTCTCCTTAAATCACCACAAAATAGCACTATAACTGAAATGTTGAGATTTAAAATTTTTTGTTGATATAAATGTTTTATATTTTAGTGGAAACTGTACATAAAACTAAGTTAGTTTAGGGGTTACTCTGTTCCTTCAAAAATGAAATGAAATTCCCAAAATGTTGTTTCGGTGTTAATAGTCCTTCCCAAAGTAAGGCTACTTTTGCTCAGGACCATTCCATTTTGACCTTGATTTGCACTGTAAAAATGGTTTTTAGCATATTCAACACATCTAGAATGCTCTGCACACTTAGTAAAAACAAATGTTCCTTTACTGTTCCTTGTGTCTTTCATTGGTTGAGGTCTGACCAATCATATCTAAGTGTCAGTCACTGACAATCTAAGACAATAAAAGTGGGTAAAATGAGAAAAACAAAGTAGTTTATTCTTGCTTCTGCTTTGCAGTCCCCCCCCCCCTTTTTTTTATTGGATTCTAATGTTTCTGGATGATTTCTCTTTTTCATCATCACTTTAACTTCAACATGAACCATGTTGTGACTGCATCAACTGCATTTGTACTTAATGCAATCATCACACCTTTCAACTTTGCATTTGCAACTGACACAAGGGTTAACATAACTTTCAGACATTCTCCATGTATATATTGAATAATTTAACACTGTAAACAGTTCTATAAGTTAATTACTATGCAAAAGACAATGAACTTTCACCAGGATCTTGACATTAATGAAGTGGAAGAACTCATTTTTAAATTAGGATTTCTCTGCAAGAAGTGAAGTATTGAAAATAAAAGTTGTATTGTTTGAAATATCTAATACTAAATTATTGTTGAAAGGCAGTTTTAATGATTTTTATTATTTGCCAGATATTAAGATAACTAAAACAGTCTCTAATTTTTGTATGATTGACTCCCAGTTTTAGGGTTAAGTAATAAAAGAATCACAATTGTACATAATTTTTAAAAGGATTACTGATGTAATTTTTATGAACCAGAAGTATTGATAAGTTGTTTCTATTTATAGTACTTATAGTGATATGTATAAAAGATACATTATTGCAAGGTTTTTTTCAACAAAATGGATTAGCACATGGCTACTGATTGTATTATTCTAATAAGCATGTGCAAAATCTGGCCTTCAGGTCAGTGGTTACGGGCATGTTGCATAAGAGTGTAGTATATAGCTATGTCATATAACGGGTGTTTTATTTCATCACAAATTATAATTTTATTTAGTTAATAAATGCAGAATGCTTATACTCTATTTGAGGTGTCTTATGTTTCAGATACAGTGATGTTTATGGGTTATTAGTTTTTATGAATGCAAATGCAGAAGTGGAAAGTATACTGCCACCAGACCAGAAAGTCATATCTACTAAAGGTGTTGTCAGAATATAATTTGTTATTGTGGTTTTTTACAGGAAGATGCAGATTCAGAAGATGGATTAGATGATGATAATTCATTATCAGACTGGAATTTAAGTGAGTGCTTAATTTAAATATATACTACTGGACTTTGAATAATTAACAACATAATAAAGAATAAATTGACATGTCTAATTGTGAAGTTTGGGCAGATGCCCTTTGTCAGGCAGTAAAAAACTGTTACAATTCCACTAACATTTATTTAGGAGGTTTCAGAGGTTATGCAAATAAAATTTGAATATTTTCAGATGAAGAAAAGTGTTTCTATTTTAACATAAAAATTACTTTGCACTCAGAACAGTCAACACTCCAACTCCATATATTCACAGACAAATTTTTAGTAAAAATACTTCATTAAAAATTGAGATTTTTCTGTGTGTACAAAATACATGTAATGATTGCCGAAAGCTTGCTAAATTTCATGAAGATACACAAAACATAAAAAGTTATAGTATTGAAACTCTGGTTACTTTGGTGTTATGAACTCGGTTGAATTGACTGAGCCCATAGCAAGAGAGTTAAAATAGTTTTGATTTTAGAATGTGAGTAGTTAGTCAGATGTTTTGTACTGTTCAGTATACATTTGAACTCTTAGGATTAACTGGTGATATAAATGTCATACATGTACATGACGTGTAAAGTTTTATACACAGGAAAGTGTTCAGCAGCAGCACTTGATGTACTTGCTAATGTGCTCCATGAAGAACTTCTACCTGTGCTTCTCCCCATCCTTAAAGAAACCCTCTTCCATCAGGACTGGGAAATCAAGGAGTCGGGGATTCTGGCTCTTGGTGCAATAGCTGAAGGTGAGTTAACCAGAATTTATTTTTAAGGTAATGAAGGTTTGCACCCAGATTTTTACAGAAACTTGACAGATGTACTTCTGAAATATGGTGCTGAATAAAGTTAGTTTCACTAGAACTGTTTGTTCAGTCTTTAGTAAACTTAGAACACTTCACTCCAGTCCTGCTTTTAACTGTTATTTTGTTTGGTAGGTTGCATGAATGGTATGGTTCCACATCTTCCTGAGCTGGTTCCATACCTGATTACCTGTCTAAATGACAAGAAAGCTTTAGTTCGATCAATCACTTGTTGGACTCTGAGTCGTTACTCCCACTGGATTGTAGGCCAACCTCACGACATGTTCCTCAAACCTCTAATGACTGAGGTAAGAGAATCTTGTACAAGTTAGTGATGCTTTTTGCACCATTATTGATCAAGACACACTATATTTTCTAAAGAATTATTTTATATGAATTAGCATTTGATCTACAGTTTTGTAGCTTGAGTGTCAGATCTGGAGAATACTACAGAGAATAGTTGAAATTGAATAGCAAACAGCTGCAACCTCATTAACTTTTGCCTGTATTAAATTAAGTTTTGTTGATATTATTATTAGAAATAAGGCAGTAATGTTGACTGTAACGTTTTTGTCTTTTGGGCATTATTAGAAAAATGTCAAATCTTCAGTTATTTCTTGTTTAATATGTTATTGTTTAAAGAATAATATGTCTTATGGCAAGTCATTTTGTGGACTGTTAATGGTATGTTGCAGTTGTTGAAAAGAGTGCTGGATCCCAATAAAAGAGTGCAAGAGGCAGCCTGTAGTGCTTTTGCCACCTTGGAGGAGGAAGCATGTACAGAACTTGTTCCATATCTTGCTTTTATTTTGGAGACACTGGTTTTTGCATTCAACAAATATCAGGTGAATATCCTTGGTATAAGCCTTGCCATTTGATAGTGTGTCTAAGTATGTAATCCATGTATTGTATGTGTTTATTATATATTTAAAAAAGAGATAGTGTAAGAATGAATGTTATAAGAGCTAAAGCATGATTGCTGAAAGTCTATTTTGTGAATCTCTCCTAAATCTGTGTATTAGGCTTTAGTTGATTGTATCTATAACACTGTGGAATAAAATCAAAAGAAATACATGGTGATGTTGCTATAGTTTATTTATTTTTTGTGGACTTTTTCAAATATCGTCTTACATTACTAAACTGTGTTAATATGATAGTATATAAGGCAACTCAAAGTTTCATTACATTTCATTCAGTTTTAAACGTTCATTGTTTAAACTTGTTTTGTGATTATCATTACATTTCATGTGTTATTAGTAAAAAAAAGAAAAGAAAAAAAAGGGAAATGATCTTCAGATTTATCATACTTTTTTTGCAATGTATAAACATTAAATGTTATTCAGTAGCATGTTAGCAAATAAGAGTGACTTGAATATATATTTAACATGTATCACAATATATTCATATTAACTGTTGTTCAGTCATATGTTAGTAAAAGGGAATGATTTTGGATATTGATACAATATATTTACAGTAAAAGTGTTAGCAGTTTGTTAGTAAAATAATTATTTCAATATTTACCTGACATTGGATATGATGCTATGTATTTGTGCTATGATCCTAACAGTATGAGCATATTTTTATTAATTGTCCAAAATCCATTAATTTTTGTGTACAGGTAAGTCTTTAAAAAAGGAATTTTAGCTTTGGTAAAGACTAGTTATTTGTAAATAAGTATTGTATAAAGATTTGTATTTCATTTGACATTTATTTTATTGGTTTTTTAAGTAAATAGAATAATTTAGAAGGTTTTGGTACATTACTGCTAGGTTTTCTGAAAATATATTTTGTAATATTTTTGCATTAATTGGAATATTTTCTGTTGAAGCACAAAAACTTGCTGATTCTGTATGATGCTATTGGAACTCTGGCTGATTCTGTTGGGCATCATTTAAACAAGCAGGTAAGGCAAACAATGACTAATTTTTACTAATGATTTATATTCATTTCACTAAATTAAAAGCTTGGTATGGCCAGATGGTTAGGGTGCTCGACTTGCAATTCGTGGGTTCAAATCTCCGTCCCACCAAACATGCTCGCCCTTTTAACCGTGGGAGCATTATAATGTGATCTTTTTTACATTTTTATAGTACTTCTAGCATTTTTACCAGATGTTTGGTGCAGATAGCTTAGTTGCTTTGTGCCAAAAAATGCCAGACAGCAGGTGGGTGTGGAGTTGTCACTCCTAAGACTGGCTCTGTAACTGTTGGTGGTATCTTCCAGCCTACAAAAAAAAATGACTGTCTTGTATTATGTTTACTCATATCAAAGATCACAGTAATATTAATTAGTTTTAATGTGTATTGAAAGACTTTATCATTGAATCCTATGACCTCGTATAAGTTACCCCTGTATGGTAAACTACCCACACTGGCATTCTAGGGTTAAGTGTGTTGCCATATTGTTAGGTGTTAGTTAGTTTCATCACATTCATTGTATTTACTCTCCACGTTACTTTTGCATGATCGTTCCAGCTATCATTGCTCACTAGATTATTCCACTTGGGTTCCATTTTTTTCTGTCATGCCATGCCTCCCACAGTACTGATGCCATTGGAAACACAAGTTTTATCACTTTCTTAGGTTACGGCCCTTAATTGTTTGTCTTCTTTCAGTGTTATAATGCATGTGTGGTCAAGTTTTTTTCTCTCTTTTCATATTTAAGTCAATTCTGTTTTTCTAGAAAACAAAAACACTTATTGCAATGTGGCTACAGACCTGTAAAACCTGGAAATATCAGGGAAGAGCTTGGGAATTTAAAAAAAGGAAGAAATATGGATGTGTTAGGTAAAAAACATTATGAATGACAATGTCTACAACAGATTGACATTTCAATTTTGAATCATTAGTGTAATGTATAGATTTAATAGGAGTTTTAACATTTAGTTTTCACAAGCCAGTTGTTGGAGGTTATACATTTATCTTGAAAAATGAACAAAAATACAAATTTGATTTTTGTGACCACTGTGGTAGATGGCCAGATCTGATTTTATTTTTAAAAAATTGTTTCAAAATTGCTTTGTTGTTTTGTACATTAATGAGCTCAGTTTAATAGGTTGATCAAAAAGTGTTGTAATATTAAGTTCAGATAATTGTAAAAAAACATGATAATTTGACTGAATTCTTTATGGACTTCCTTTAATTTTAAATATTGCTCTGGTGATTTCACATAAATCTTGTTTTATGTATAATGGCTTCTGCACATGAGAAAAGCTTCATTGTATACCCCAAGACATTGTCCATCTAAAATACTAGTCTTAGAATCGTTTTGTTTCCCTGTTTTAGGAATATATCAACCTTTTGATGCCTCCCTTAATTCAGAAGTGGAATGTTCTAAAAGATGACGACAAGGATCTCTTCCCTTTATTAGAGGTAAATCTGTAAATTCTTTCAGTTTTAGCTAGAGGTAATCAGAAGATTGTTGCAGTTTTTATTTAATTTGTATGAAGAATAATCTATTTTGTCATTAATGGCAACAGTTGATTTTGATTTGTAGTGAAATTCTTTATTTTGAAACCCATACTTAAATTTCAATGTGTGTGTGTTTATATATATATATATATATATATATATA